AAACTGGACTAAAACCTCAGCAGATTTAAGAATTTATAACAATAAATCAGCCAAAACTGTGTCATTATTTACTCACCCGCATGTCGTTCCAAACCCCCATGCTGGTATGTCTGCAGTGACACACAGGAAAAAACTGAAACAAAGTGTCTCTCAAATCTAACACGCCATCAAACGTCTTTAGTTCTCAAGTGTCTTGTAACCAGAAATCATGACGTCAAACCTGTACACTATAGGTGGAGGTAAAGGTAAACTTAAAATATAGCGTGCAAACAGTGTTGGGAAGGTTACTTTGGAAATGTAATAGGTTACAGATTACAAGTTACCCTATTTAAAATGTAATAGTAGTGTAACTTTTTCAATTACTTTATTAAAGTGATGTAACTGATTACTTTTGATTACTTTTATAAATTTTTAATGAATGTTTATTTGCAACTGTTAATCATTTTCAGACATTTACACCATGCAGGGTTAACCTTATAGTAGTGCTCAACACTGTCAGACTTTCAAAATCCTTCCTCGCTTGAATTAAGATGATCAAATTTGAACACATCCACCACAAAATCAGACTTTAGTACCGCCTTTTACTTTGAGATTGATCTGAAGTTCAAACCAAATCTTTGCATAACTACAGGAAACACTGCATCTAACAATGGTTTGCAAAGAAATAGTTAATTAAAAAATAATAATAAATAAAAGCATATACATCAACTCAAATACGGTTATCTAATAAGCATGTGTCCTATTCTGTGTACTTCACTCCTGAAACATTGGTGTCTTTTTGAAACATTGGTGTCTCTTTGTATATGATATGATGATAGTTTTCTCAAAATAAGTAAAATGCTCATGAAGTGACTCAGAGCAGTTCTAGAGATTATGTTTATGTGTTCATGTACTCATATATTGAGGCGGCAGAGGCTGAAAACAGGCCTATGTGTAGTAAATGAAGGGTCGGACTGGGAGAAAAATTTTCAGGCAGGGCAATCTCACACTCATACACCGCAACAAATTCTGAAACATGGACAACCCTATTTTTGAACCCTATTCAAATTCTGAAACATGGACCTCACATAAAAAAAGGTTTAAATCTTTAGGTTGGGGACATGCAAAATAATTAAAAGTTCTCTCCTGAACTGCACCTTCACTTACATTTTTCTTTTCAGTCTATTTATTTTGCCCTGATATCTATCTCTCACTTTAATACTCAAGATTGAACAAAACTATACTTTCTAAATTGGCTACATGTCAAAATTAGTACATCACCACAATATCTTTATAGAAAAATCCTAATACTGAACACGAGTCATTTTTTTTCCTTACAAAAATTAACCATGCTTTTACTATAGTAAAAGTACAGTAACCATGTATTTTTTTTTTGGCAAATGGATTACCATTTGTATTTATTTTTACTACAAATTCCATGGTTAAACTATGGTTAGTGTAGCAAAAGCCATGGTTAATTTGTGGTTACCATGCTTTGACAATAGTAACCATTGTCTTTGGATTTATAGTAAAATCATCGTTAATTTTCGTAAGGGTTGTGTTGTTGTCTGCCCTAGCGCCCCCAAAAATCTATTATAAAATATGATTATTTGTCTGCTAAATTACTACTGTAACATTACAATAGATAATAATGATGTCCTTTATACAGTATTTTGAGTGATGACTGATGAGCAATGGGCTGCTGTTGCTTAACTAAGTAACCAAAGACAAAACTACAATAGCATATTTACAGATGAAACTGACCTGCACTTGAAACCCTGAACAGTAGTTTTGCTTCTCTGCTCCACCTGTGCGCTTCCACAGTCCACTCCATTCTCTCTCTCGCATTGATTACTCTGATCCAAACCGTTGGGCGGAGGCGCGGAGAGCACGCGAGCCGAAGCATTGCCAGTCACGACTAACCAATTCATGATTTATTAGAGATTTAATTATCGAATGGCGAATTCGGAAATAATCGCTTTAGTACATTCGGCAGGCAACTATACAATAATAATATTAAAATAGCGGGCCAAATCGGCTGCCAGGCCACCGGGAACTGTCCCGGTTCTCCCGAGGGCCAGTCCGCGCCTGATTTCCACAGACACGCAGAACGTGCAGGATTCATATATTGTCTTTTTGCGGCTTAATATTCACAGACACTAGTCTATATCGCGTTTTGATTCAAGTTTACTGACCTACTTTTGATTTATTCATCCAAAATGTGGCATATTCCATCCGCGTTAGGCTATAGGAATTCCGTTTTTATGACTGTATTCTACGAACCAGTCTGTGTTTTCGCATCGCGGAAATTATAGAGCCGTATGACTCAGAGTAATCAGTGCATTTTGGGAAAGAAATCAATTAAATCTGTATGTGGATGTGTGTAAATATTCAAATGTAATCCCCTTTGTAATCGTTAACATTTTCATAAGTAACTATAATTTAATTACACATGTTTTCTTAGTAACTGTAACTGATTACAGTTACATTTATTTTGTAATTAAATTCTCCATTACATGTAACTAGTTACTCCCCAACACTGCGTACAAATCATATGTACTACTTTTATTTGTACTTTTTGTAGCTTGAGAAGTCTATACTTTAAAAAGTCTTACACCATGTCCTAACTACACGTGACGCGATGCAATGCTGCGACACACAATAAAAGGCATATTTTCCATGTTAATCTGAGTTTTTGTCCTAACTAGCCGCGACGGCGACACGCGAAATTTCTATTTTAGAAACGGTTTCTATTTCCGCAATATTGCGGCTGGAACAACAACATACAAACTATATTACAGTAGATAATCTCAGGTGATTATGTGCTTTATCCAAAGTTAAACGAGTCTAATATGAGTTTTAATATAATTTTGTGTGACCTTATTGCCATACTGAAAACAACAATAGATAGTTTACCTTAGAAAATCAATTAAAGCAAAGATGTTAAAACTGAACTCAATGCGAACCAACAAGTGTATTCCATTACAAAGATGGTGTCAGTCACTCAGTGTGTACATTTAATAATGTTAAAAATGTTTAATATTTATGAATTAGATCTTAAGGCCCCGATATACTTCAAACGACATCGAAGAATGAATTGAAATGACGTAATTTCGAACAAAATCAGGCCGAAACAAAGTTAGTTTTGAGTTAGTTTTGGCAGTTCGAAACAGCTCACAAAAGCAAACTTTTTGGGGGAGTTCGTTTTGACTCCAAAACCCCTTTGAGCTACCATTGGTCCGTGGCGATTACGCAGTCGGTGGGTGTGTTCTGGAACTCCGCCTTCTTTGATGTGCGTTTTTTTTTTACCCCCAGTTCGTTTCTCATTCCACGGAGGTCAGACAGGAGAACACATCTCAGCGACTATCTTGCGGGCTGTGCATGGTCCAATCTTGAATGTTTCAGCCACACTTTGTTGCGTGGCCCCACAAGCTAGTACTCAGAGAGTCAAGGCCAGTCTCTCCGTAGTGGAAATCGGTGTCCTGTGCGTTTTTGCATGTTTCACATATGGCGAAACCCTTTTCAAGAGATCGTCAAACTGCACGGCGCACATTCTGAAGTATGAAAAATGCACTTCCTCATCTGTGCTCCGCATTTGCTCAATAAAAAGGGCAAACTCGCCATCATTCTATTTGTTTTCGTTAAGTGGATGCACATACCACCTCATTTGTTCTTGTTATTTTTCTTTGCCATTGAATAGATCAATGCTACTGCCAGATGTTTACGAAACTGTTCTTCTCTCACAGCCGCCAACATTGTTGTGTTTAGGGGGTACACACAGGCGGCATGACACATGTTTACAACCCCGCCTCCAGCAGCGCGGGGGTGTCGGAATGTTTGAAAACAGTATACCGTCGCTTAGCCTTTTCAAACTTCTTTTTGCCCTCAAACAAAGAACGAAAAAGAACTTTGTTTGAAGTATATCAGGGCCTTTAACCTTTCAATTTCGTTGCAAGCGCAGTACAATTCCAGAAAGAGCCCGCCCACACACGCTTCTGATTGGCTGTAATATTTGATTGATTTTGTCAAGTCGCATTTGGTGTGGACAACCAAATTGCTTTTCGCTGGAACCCTGTCACGTCACGTGTAGTTCAGACACGGTGATAGTATGGAAAAAACTGACTGTAAAGACAGTTTTAAAGAAAAAATAACAGCAATGCCATGGTGAGTAAATTATGATTTGCTTTGTTTGGTAAATAATTCATTTAAATCCACAATTTTTGGACTTTGACTTCTGAAAATAAGTCTACATGACCACTGTACGATTTTAGGGCAACATTTTCCTCACATGACCTTGGAATCATCATGTTCTTTCTCCGTGTCTGCCTCTCCCTCGCTTATGTGATCCCTTTCACCTCCTCTCTTCCTCTCCCTCGCTTATGTGATCCCTTTCACCTCCTCTCTTCCTCCTCATTCTCCCTTTCAGCTATCACATCATTAGCGAGCATTCAACATCCTGACATCCAAATCAACAGAAACGCCTCCTAAGTGATCCTCCCTTGGCTTTTCCTCACATGACCTTGGAATCATCATGTTCTTTCTCCGTGTCTGCCTCTCCCTCGCTTATGTGATCCCTTTCACCTCCTCTCTTCCTCCTCATTCTCCCTTTCAGCTATCACATCATTAGCGAGCATTCAACATCCTGACATCCAAATCAACAGAAACGCCTCCTAAGTGATCCTCCCTTGGCCGTATTATCCTTCACCATTAGAAATCTCAGAGACACACATACTTCCCTCCTCCAGGGGCTCACGTCAGGCAATCTTACTTACATGCAGGGGCCTTAGTCCCTGTCTGTCTAAACACACTCATCCGCTGGCTAGGCAGCTCTGGATATCTGTTCTGACTAAGTAGAGTCAGCAGTGGCCTTGGCTAGTAGCTGTGTGTGCATGTGTGTGTGAGTGTGTGTGTGTGTGTGTGTGTGTGTGTGTGTGTGTGTGTGTGTGTGTGTGTTTATGACTGGCTCTATGAAGGAGCCCTCAGCATTAACGTGAACTGACGGCTCTTTGGCAAGTGCTTACTGAGTGGTTTGAGGATGCTGTTGCTGGCCTCCTCATTGTTCTCTGCATCCAACCTGTCCGAAGCGTTCTCAGTCACTTTCTCCTTTCTGTCCTTGTGACTTGTGCGTCGGCGATGACGTCTCCGTCGCCGGTAGCTCTTAGGCACATGCACACCGATGTATATAGTGTGGTGACCTGAGAAGGTAAAATTGAGACGACAGGTCAGGCTTTAAAGTTTACATGACACTACACAAAGCACAAGTAACAAAAAAAAAACTTAAGCTTAAAAAAATTTATCAATATTCTTGTCTAGTTTTTCAGTATTAATATTTAAATAGCCCTATAACAAGATTGGTTTTCCTGACAAGAATTATTTTCAAAGAATATACTCTACTATTCAAAAGATTGGGGTTGGTAATATATTTGAAGATTTTTGAAAGATGTTTTGTATGCATTCATTTGAAACTACAGTAAAAACAGTAATATTGCGAACTATTATTACAGATTGAAAATAACTGCTTTTCTTTTTTAAATATTTTAAAATATAAATTATGATCCTTTAGAAATCATTCTGATACGCTGATTTGGTGCTCAACAAACATTTTCTATTACCGTATTGACCCAAATATAAGACAATGTTTTTTTCTTGGAAATACATCAGAAAAAATGCGGTCGTCTTATATTCAGGGTCTAGACTTTGACACGTCAATAATACACCCACAACAATAGGTGGAGCCAAATATGCATAAAACGAGTGTGCCATGAAATACATAATGTAATGCGTGTTGTAAAGATCGTGAGTAAAAACAAAAGAAAAAGAAAACCTTACAGCTGCATGAGTCGTGACTGTCACGTTAGCCTGATGGGACCAAACTCCCTTTGTGATTTTAAAACGTAAGACAGTACCCAGACTCGAAGACTACAGTAAGATTTATCTTCTACTGTTAATAAGATATTGGTGGGCTACTATTAGATGGATAGCTTAAATGTCCTAATTCAGATGGGCTACCTGTTTTTTTTTTTTATGGTATATCAAAAAGTGTATATTTTTTAAATGTGATTGTTGGTACATTTTACCAGTTTTTACCATACTTTCAAAACAAAAATTAAAATAGGAAAAATATGCAATATGAAAATAATTGAAGACAAAATGTGTTTTACGGAGAAAAAACAAGATTTGTTTTTTAAAAAGCCTTTTTCCAAAAGGTCCATCTGGAAAAAAGGGGGTCATCTTATAATCAGGGTCGTCTTATATTCGGGCCAATACGGTACTATCAATGTTGAAAAAAGTTGTGTTGTTCAGTATCTTTGTGGAAACCATGATACTTTTTCCAGGATAGTTTGATGAATAGAAAGTCTTGGAGAAAAGAAATATAAATCTTCTGTAACATTAGAAATAGGAATACACCGATACCACTTTTTTCCAGTACTTGCCTGATACCGATACTTTTATTTTTGGTGCTTGCCGATACCGAGTACCGATACCGATATTTTTATTGCATTTGTACATTTTTTAAATATTGGGTACAGAAACCAAAAGGGTATGTATAATGTTAGTTGGTTAACTTCATTTATCAAATAGATACAGTCAACCCAAAATTTATTCAGACACCTTCAACATTTCTCACATTATCACAGTTTATTCGCTATAGTTTAGAAAATGATAATAAAATATGACAAGAACTCAGAGTTACACTGTGTCAGAACAAATTCAGCTTGATAATGTTAGATAATTTTGATAGAAAGGGAAGTGATAGATTACAATCAACCAAAAATAATTCAGACAGCTGTTAGTATGACAGTATTTACACAACTATGAATACTTTGTCGGGTGACCCTTAGCCTTAATGACAGCCTGTAGTCTCCTGGGCATGCTGTCAACCAGCTTCATGAAAACCTCAACTTCAGTTTTTTCCTAGACTCGGTCTGAATAGTTTTTGGACCCAAATTTGTATCAGTTTTACTGGTAGTCCACTGTATG